CGATCTGGCTGATACTTGGTGTGTGTTTTTCCAAGAGATGCTATACTAAATAAAAATAATACCGACCAGGGATGCCATCTCTCTGATTTTGCACGGACTTTTCAAACTTCCCTCGTACTATCATTTTATTCTAAATTAAAAAATTTTTCATTTAAGATTAAAATATTCTTTTCTCTATGATATTATAAATATAATTGGCTCTATATATCGATCCTATTTTATGATACATTCAAGTGTAATAGCATTGGACAGAGGCAATCGAGATTTGCGGATTAACGATCTAAAAGTTAGTAGTTTATCATACGCGAAGTTTACGATTTATGAATGTTTAATTTAATTGGTCGCGTAATTAGCGAAATATTTTAAGTGTAAAAATTCCAAGTATTGGAAGAGTTTTGCCTTTCTCAAAGCTTTGCCGATATTTTTCCCAAAATATATTTACTAAAATATTTAATATCGACATTCGATATTGCGAGAGGGGCTTGCTTTAATTAAATTTCCGTTCGAAGAAAAAAATGACACGTTGAATTTCCCAAGGAATCCGCACTGCCGGGTGATATATGTATTGAGAACTCTTCTCTTAGTGTACACTGCTCTACCCCTTATCTTACCGGAAGTTGCGCGGACACGTGCCAAGCGTGGGTTCCTGCTCACAGCCCCGCGACTATGATTGACATCGCGGTCGGACGGTTTCCTCTGGGGGGTTTGATGGGACTTTATAAACGCCTCGGGCACTTCTCGAACAGCTATCGTCCGTAAATACCCTCTGGGGCCACATCTCTCCCGGAGCCTCACGCCCCGAGCCTCGTAATGATTCCGCTTGCGCGATGTCGATGACGACCAATCCGCGAATCACGGGAGAGGGAGTTTCCGAACGGCCGGTCTCGCTTGATTTGCGAGCGGAGCGGGATCGAAGATGATACGAGCTAATAGCGAGAGAGACGATCGTCGTCGTCGCCATCGCGTCCGAGGTTGCGGGGGTTTGTTAGCGATGTGTTACGCAGAGAGGGTGAATATGGATGAACGCGAAGATACGGAGGCATTCTAGAGGGGATGTGAGGGCGAATGCGAGAGAATGGGACACGCCGGTCTGGTGAGAAAAATGCGTGTTGCGAACTTGTCCGCGTCCGTTTTCATTCATGCGGAGTCGTTCTGAAATGCATAAGGTAGATCCGCGTTCGCATGGTCCAGCGCGCAGCGGGACGGTCTTTTTGATTGGCCGAAAATACACAACAATGCACTTTCCATATTCCGCGGGGGTGCGTAACCGCGAAGGGGGACAAACAACGGTGCGCTTTATTCCGCTGTACATCATCCCCGTAATCTGCCCTCGTGCTGGAACATAGAGACGCGTCGTGGCGAGATGCTAGTACGGCGGGCTATCTCGTCGGGAATTTTTCTCAGGAGCGCGGGAGCAGTCGAGCGTGCGGATCGAAGGTGTCTGCAGGTATTCATGGAGTGCATCCGTCGAGTAGCGGATGCGGCGGGGGAGCCGGGCGGAATAATCTCGTGCGCGTTCTCTTCGCGGCTCGCATCAGCCTTTCAATTTTCTGCGAGTGCAATACACATCTAGCTTGCGCCACGCTCGTGGCGAACCGAGTCTCGTTTCGATCGCACAATCACGATTCATCGAGCTTAGCGTAAAGGGAACTGCAGTACGGAATGCACTTTGATTGTCACAGTCGTTTCTTTATACTATCTGCCAGAAAATAAGAAACGTGTAGGTTCGATGTTCTTGGTTATTCGTTAGTTAGAATATGCAATAATACGCGATGTAATTTATAATGTAATTAATGTGTAATGTAATATAATAGGGAAGAACAAAATACTTGTTTATCACAATTAAATATTAATACCGGCTTTTATGAAAACATGCGTGCGTTGGACGGTAATTTATTAAAAGTGGAATTTGTTAATTTATTATAATAAAATGACAACTTAATTGAAATATATTACATTGACAATGTGAATTAAGAGATTTAATACTTTCTGATAATAACATTCTAAACTAAAGATTTTTTTTGCTACGCTAATGGACCACGCGAATATTTCCGCAATTTATTTCCACGACGGGGAATAAGATAGAAACAAGAGTTTAATTAAAGTGAGCTAAAAATAAGAAATAATAACCGCACATTTTTCAGGTCACAGAAATAATATCTTAATATCGACATTTTTACAAAAAATATCTTGCAGAGAGTAATCCGCAATTATAGCGATACGAACTGCAGTCTGCTCGGAATCGCGTGGAAACGGAACGCGAGGGACAGACTCGTGTCTGACCATGAACGCGTCTCGATCACTGACACGCTCGGTCCGCTCGCGCGACTGTCTTTCTCCGCTTTCAAGAGCGCGCGCTTTACGATTTCGCACAACGAACGCATAAATATCCGACGGTGACGTAAGCATGATCGAACCGGATATGCTCGTGTGTTGACGCGATATTTACGAGCGGGAGGAAGCAACGCCGTTGCGATTACGACGATGACGCTGCAGCCGCGCCGGTGCGTATCTCGTTAATGGACGGTTCGTGTGTGCATGCGTGTAGCAAAGCTACACACGCCGAGGATGATCCGGCGGCCGAGAGCCGGGCTGCGGTACTCTGCGGCAATACGCGTCGCCATCTTGGTTTATCGATCTTGTTGCCTACCCTTCGCCCTCGTCCTCTTCAGCCGCCCCGACCCTCCGCCGTTGTTCGTTCACCCTCCGTTCCTCCCGTGCGATCCTCTTTCTTTTCTGCTCTTCCTTCTCTTCGTGTCCGCTCGACCTCGCGCACCCGCGCGCTTCTCTTCCGCTTTTGTTCCGCCCGGCTTTTTGTCCTCGCGTAAGCCCGTGTGCGCGCGGCTTGAGCATCGTTAACGTCTTCTGCTGCGCCATATTCGTCAAATTCTTGCCCGTGAATTGAGAATCCTATGTGCGTACGGTATCCAACAATGGAAATGCCATTCGGGAGAGAAAGAGAATGGCCGTTGTTTTTTTTATACTGGAAATGTTGCACGAGGTCGCTCAGAGTTTGCTTGAAGAAATTGCCTTTTAAATTTTGATACCAAATCCGTCTCTCGAGTATCTAACGATAGATGCAAGAAGTTGAAGTTAATTTCCGTTACTCACATTCCTAAAACCCAATTCGCTAAAAACCCTCGCTCGTCCGCACTTCAGAACAATGATTATTCTCTTCACTTTCGATAAGCACTGAACGGAAATGCCGTTTGCTTTAATATACTCTTCCCAATATAACGTATCGGCGATTAAAGTCTTAAGGAGAGAATTTAAATTAAATGACAACCCGAGTCAAAATCTTGGCCCTATGTTGAGCCTTTAATTCTATTATACATATAGTAGGACCTAAGACAGTAAAAGAGGTTGAACTGCAAGTACAAAATTTAGTTCTACTTTAAAACTGATAGTGTCGGAAATTTCTACTTTTGCCAATTAAAGTAGGTCTTTTTAAGTAGGAGCTAAAGTAAATTTTTAGAATTAAAGATTTAAGGGAGGAGTAAAAAATATAATGTCATCAAAGTAAGTTGTTGCTGGTCTATGTAGGTGTGCAGATGAGCTAAGTAGGTGTAAATTATCCTTAAAAGTGTCAAAATAGTACCAAAATTTCGACTCGGGAAGAACAAAGACTTATTCTCTATCTCATTTTGCAATTAGATTATGTTTCAATTTGCAAATTAAGAAAATTAACACTGAAAGAAATGCAATATTTATTAAGATCCTTGATTTCATGCGTTCTAACGTTCTCTAAATCAGCCAAGTAATTGTCTTTCTTGTCAACAGTCGTAGTCAATTTTTAAGGGCTCCTTTGCTGTTTTCTCCCATCAATATTCCATACCGTCAGCTTTCATAAAGCGAGGACAACGTTCGGGCCCCTTTGCGCTCGTCTTTCTAGCGTTGTTTGCGATTCAAGTCATGCTCATCGCGCGCGCGCGCGCGCGCTTCATTAATTAATAAACACCCCCTCGTATAGCGTAGAGCGCATCCCGGAAGAGCCGCTCGGCCGACAACACCCTCTAGCGCGCACTCGTTTGCAGTTAATTGTCGCGGCGGTGCACCGCAAGATGAACGCGAAACTTAATAATAAAATGTCGCTGATCCTGGTTCACGGCCCCTGTTAAGAAAACGCTGCGGGAACAAGCGACCAATCAGGCAAATTCGTGGCTTTCACGGTGTAAAAAGGCAAGTGGGTCGAGGCTCTCGAAGGGAGAACGCTGGCAGCCTTTTGCGATTAAGAAGCTAGAAAAGAGCGCGCGGAAAGGAACTTGGCAATTCAGTTTTAGTAAATAACTTTGGCGCGTGATACGGAGTCGGGAATAAGTGAATAATTCGATTACCTTCTTTAATTTTATATTTGGCGCGGCATGTTGGGACAAATATTCTTAACGGAGTTAAGGAGCTTACTACTGTACGGGCAGTATTTCACGATTTACTCGTAACACGATTATCGCAGCGATAAAAATTACGAGCTAAACTCCTTCTGTCACGGGCGGATTTCTCTCGGAGGTAAAATGGATGGAAGGGATTCCACGAGGTAGCGCAGGGCCCCTCGCTCGAGGGCCGCTCGCACGACTAGCGGGAGGGGGGAGGAGGGGGAGACCATAATAACAATGACTAGTGACTGTTATTCGTAACGCGATAACGACCGTGCGTTCCGAAGTGTCCGCGCGATTACGCGAGCACCTACGAGCGCGAAACTCGATACAAATTGCCCAGGACGAATCACATCTACGTAGCTCCCGCAATCGTGAGCGATGGGTGTACCTAATTGGCGGATTAGGCTGATGTATAGGGTACGTCAAGCACGTTACGCCTTACGAGCTGTCATTCGGCAGAGATGTCGACTCGAGGGAAATTAATGCGCTTGATTGGAAATCATTTCTTATTCTTATAATATTTATCCTTTGTTTTTCTTTGGATAATTACACCGCGTAAAATATAATCGTGTACGTAAGTTTCATTGTGTTTTAGCGTATATTATATTATTGATATTGTTTTCTAAGTTGCCTGGCGAACGATCACCTTTTGGATTTTCTTTTCGCCACTCGCTTCTTCTCCTTTCGTGAGAAGACGACCCAGACGTACCGGCTTAGCGGGTCGCTGGTTTAAACGCTGATTTAGATTCCCGGGAAAATCGGAAGAGGACACATGTCTGAAGAGAATTTCACGCTCGGTAAACGTGGCATAAATCGAGAGCTCGACTGAGAGGCCCGGGCTTCGCCCAGGCTCCGTGTAACTCGGTAAGCTTCTTATTGTCGACATCCGACGATTTGATCCGACGCTCGGGTCTGGTTTTGGTCTGGTCTGGTCTGGTCTGGTCTGGCCTGCGGTTTGAACAGCCCAAAATGCATGACGATACTTACGACACTTTCATATCTAGTATCGATATTTTTCATTTGGCAGGAGTGTCCAAGTACCGCCGCGAAACATTAAGAACCAAAAAAGAAAGAAATTTTTCGTATTGCGAAGACAGGGAAAGCTGTGTGAAAAATTTTAAGAGGAATTTATATATTTTTATATTATTTTGAATTTATTTTTGTTTTTACGTACTCTCGTCTCGATTTACTTTGACTTGAGTTTACTGTATATTAAAAGAAAATTATATCCTTCAGTTTTCTAATAGCTAAATAAATTACGCCACGTCGATTGCGCCATTTTTAATTTAAATTGCAGAAAAATATTGTATTTTTTGTAAATAAGAAAAGATATTAGAAAATTGCAATGACTATATGTAACTGTAGCGTTTTATGACAGTAGTGTATTAAATTTCCTACACTATCTTCTCGAAAGCTACGCTTTTCGCAAAACTCCTTCGGCATTTATCCCGGTAGATACAGTTATGCCTGAAGGGTTTCACGTCAGGTATCATCCATAATCGCGATGTACAGGATCGCTTTTGCCGGGTGTCTATGGTGTCTACCGTTCAGTTTCGGTGGTGCGCGTCTTTGCCGAGCGAGAAACTCGCTTATCGTAGTCTAGACTGGTCAAATTGGTAGGCCCCCAAGGACCGCCAAGAGGGAGAATACCGAGGCGTAGCCATCCGACAAACTGGTAGGGGGGGGAGGAGGACCCTGCGTAAGGAATCCGTCGTGGCATCCACCGCATCTCATGGTTTACGCGTGTCGACGAGAGGGATCGTTAGCCGCGGTATGCCAGACAATAATAAACAGTAAGCTTGCCACCGCCGCCGTCATGGTTGAACATTAGAATCGATGTAATTGACTGGTGGCTCGTGTAATCGTAATTGTCGCTCTTTGCACCGAAAAACGAGCGAGACTCGCAATTGGCCGAGCGAAATAACAAAATTCTACTGTATCGTATTCAAGCTAATTGGAGAGATTGGGATAACGACGAGGGTGTGCGTTCGTGTGTGTGTGTGTGTGTATATATATATATATATGTGTATATATGTGTGTGTTAACTGACTTTTGCAGTTCGAGACCGTTTTTATAAATGAGCGTCGACGTTGCCTTCTGTTTTTATTTTAATCCAGTTAATATTGTTCAACGAGTTAAACGATTCTTTTTCACGTATAACAATGAAAGGGGGACAATGGAAATCAATTTAGTTGAAATTTACTATTAAGAAAACGTGAAAATTTAATTTAATATTCTTTCAAGATCGGAGAAAAATATAACCAACGCAAATCACTCGTAGGTTATAATTTAATTTGCTTTTAAAATTGAAGAATTATATATTTAATTATATATACAAGAAGAATTATATATAATATATGTATATTATATACAGGGTGGTCTAAAAGTTCCGGAACGGTTGAATATCCCGAGAAATTGTGGGTGGATCGGAAAACGGAAAAATACATATTTCCTATTTTTGAAAGAGCTATCGAATGATACCAAAATTGATCCCCACCCCCACCCCTGTGGGTGGGGCGGGGGACAACTTTAAAATCTAAAATGAGAACCCCCACTTTTTATAACAGATTCGCATTCCACGTTAAAAAGTACGGTAAATATGCAGAAAAGGTCACACCTCACCGATTTCCTCGCCACTTAGATATGTTGTAGGGGAGAGTTTTCTGAGTAATTCCCCGCAAGAATCAAGTGGGGG